AATAGCACCTATTTCACTAGCAAATAGGAATATTGTACTGTAAACAGCCATCAAAACAACACTGAACCAATATGAAAATTAAAGTACAATGAACCAGTGTTGGCAGGACAGTGGCATATCTTACATGTTTGCCATCTAGTGCCCTTAATACACAAATGGAAAATCTCCACTTCTCCCAAATTCTTTTTTTTTTCCACATCTTCCCATTCGTTTGTTGTTGAAGGACATTGGACATAGATAGGAGATAGTGCCTTCCATATTGCTAAACATGTCTCTGGGACAATCTTGTTGACTGTAGAATGCCCCAACCGATAACTAAAAGATATGGTTTGATGAGAATCCCAGTTGCAAGATATCTTAGGGTTACTGATAGCCGTTCTTGGCGAAATGGCTTCCCGTTTCTGGTTGGACTTAATAATCAATGGGGCAACTAACTGCAACAATTTCTCAAATACAATCGGTGACATACGAAAATATTTAAAGAAACTTTCGTGGTCTCCTAGTTGCATTTCTCTGACCAGATTGGCATACTCTGCTCTTTTCTTTTTGGAATATGTCGGACCAAAATCGTTTTCTGTATTTTGCCTTCCCTTTTGATACCTTTTCTCGTAATAACAATAATATTAAAGTTTTCTTCTGCAAAAACTGCCATGTTTTTTTATTTAACCAAAATTTGCCATACAAAATAATTTCATTTTATTGGTCAATTAAACAATAGAAAATTGTGCGAACAGCGTTGATGATCGTGATAAGTGTGTATTGAATTCGCATGTGACAGCACGTCATAATCCGCAAATCGCATGCGATTTGCGAATTGCGAATGAAGTGGAAATGGGCCTTAACTCTCACCAATTTATTCAGGTCACGAACCTGACCACCATTATAGCGCTTTCTTAAATAGTAACATAGGGACTTTGTCGTGGGGACAAATTTGAAAATAATTCCAAAGATAGAGAACATCCTAGTGAACGGTAAAAGTATTATAATAAGTTGATAGTTCTTAAAAGAACTGTTTTAAGTAAAGCAATAACCCAATAGTTCTAAATTAAACGACACGATGCATTTCGGCAGACTACTCCTCAGGTGTCAACGTCTGCTGGTAAATTACAATCTACCGATATTTATAATGCCAAGAAAGGGTGTAATCTCCAAAGGGGAGATGACGCTCAAAACACGGATAAATTAAAGACATAAACCTTTTGTCGGCAGAGGACGGGATTGGTTAACAATTAAATCAGCCTCCATGATGCGTAACTGAAAGAATGAACGGCATTTTGTAATTATTCTAAAATTGTCGTCTGAATAAGAATCAGCACAATGGGAGTTATTCAAGAGATGTTTACCTATCGCGGAGTCACATGAAACTAAATTACTTTTCTTAATGACGTGTTGGTTGTTGTCTTGAGGGGACCGTTCCATTTCTGATTGAAGTTGTTACATGCTGTTCGATCCTATCACCCAACCTTATAGACGTTCTACTCTACATAGCGAGCATCACATATTCGTAAATTACATTGCTTAAAAGTGGTGCCGGTAGAGATTCTTTGTGGTAGGTGGTAGAATAGTTCTTTTCGAAAATAGAAAGATAGCATGGCTTGCAAAAAATAAATTCTCCGTAATATTCTTCTTTCCTCTTTCAATATCATCACATCCATAAAAGTTTGATAAACACAGGGCACTTAGCTGGTCCAAAAGGCCTGTTCTGCTCATTTTTTGTGGATGAAAAAAGTTTATCAAGCATTTTTTCCGGATATCCATTTGAGAGAAATATCTTTTTCAATAGTTGAGATCACCCTCAATGAGCTCCTTTGATGACAGTCTAAGCTTTCGCTTTATTAAACACTTTACTAAAGAAGTCTTTTCTCTATGTGAAGAAAAAGAGTTAAAGCGTGTGTACAAACCCGTAAAAGTTGCCTTGCGATGAATGCTTGTAAGGAATTGACCGTTGTGTATATGCACAAGAACATCCATAAACGCTAACTGACAATTTGATTCATGTTCAGACGTTTAATTTAAAGAAGGGTGAAAAGAACAGAGTTTATGTAAAATAATTGGCGATTTTGTTGTTACGAAAAAGGAAAAGGTGTCGTCAACGTAACGTTTGTACCACAGCACATCTGGAGGCCCAGAAGAGGCAAAAATCTTACATTCATAATAGCTTACGAAAATATTAGCAAATACTGGTCCAAGAGGGCAATGCCACCCCATCAATTTGTTTGTACATGATATCACTAAAACTAAATTTTACTCCTTTAGTAGCCGCTATCATTAATTCATTAAAAGCCTCCTTGGACATGTGTGGTATAGCCATGTCCTAGTGAAAAAGATTAGATTTCCATTCTTTTTCATTAATTTATATGCGTAATCTGCAATCTCCAAGTCTGCAATTAAAAAATGTTAATTCTTTAGTTTTACAATGATTTTTTTTTTCTTAGGAACTAATGTGGTGACATATTAAGCAGAACTTTGAACATTAAGACGACAGTGTGTCATAAAGAAAATTGGATAAATCAAGAGTTCAAAAAACAAAACTCAATGGCGGATGATCAATATAAATGCTTAGTCGTTGAAAACCATTCCAATGTTAAAATCACTGTAAACTATTACAAAAGTTGGTCTCCTTTTTGCAAGTTTCCGACTTCTTCAAAACACTCCAACCAAAGAGAATCATTGCTATCGTCATAAGGAATCATACAAGTTTGAAATTTTTGCGCATATAGACAATAAAAATAAAGAAAAGCTTCTTGGACCCGAGAATTGCAACGATATCGAGGGAATAACTATAAGTGAATCGTTAACTTGTCAACGAAATACTATACGAAAATGGCAGAAAAATAATCTGTCGTCACATAAATCGAGAAAACGAATTTCCCGTGAAGTATGGAGCATCTACAAAACCCCTGACACATGACTCTCAAACAGAGAGAAACTTTTCATCAACAGTAGAAATCGATTTCAATCAAAGTAATTCAACCTGCACAAATAATGAACGTTTTGCGTCAAAAACACAGCGACGCTCAATTGCTGATAAAAAAAAGCCAAGAACAATTGACCAAAAAATCTATTCAATATTACTCCGAAGGATCATGGATCTCAAGATGATCGTAACTTATTATTTAAACGAAAGAAAAGTCACAGAAGAAGTAAGTGGTAATGGAGAGAGTGAATATTTCTGCAAGCGCAACAAATGTCGAAGTGAGTTTCAAAGTTATGCGTCCATTTTGGGGTGATGTCATGACGTACGACCGTTTTAACAAGACCTGGTTAAAACCATATACACCCTCATCTTCCGATACCAAAAAGCAAAAAATCGCACATTTACTCTTAGTGGTAATCTTTGTTGGGAGGCAGTCATGGGAGTCAGTAATGAGTATGGAGAAACGAAAGAAATGGGTTTTTTATCAACTGACGAAATTTATTGCCCTCAAAGAAATTCAACCTGCTCAAATAATGAAAATTTTGCGTCAAAGACCCAACAACACTCAATTCTCGACGATATAAGCTAAGAGCAGTTGACCAGAAAAACCATTCAATATTACTCCAAAGGTCCGTGGATCTCAAAGATGATTGTAACCTATTATTTAAACGAAAGAAAAGTTACGGAAGTAGTAAGTGGTGATGGAGAGAGAGAGTGAATATTTCTGCAAGCGCAACAAATGTCGAAGTGAGATTTAAAGTTATGCGTCCATTTTGGGGCGACGTTATGAAGTACGACCGTTTTACAAATACCTGGTCGAAACCGTATACACCTCATATCTTCCGATACGAGAAAGCCACTGGTCGCACATTTACTCTTAATGGTAATCTTTGGTGGGAAGCAGTTATGAGAGTAACTGATGAATACCACGAGGAAACAAATGAAATGGGCGAAGTTTAGAAAGGTGAAGAACTTTCTATAATCGATTACTAATTTACAATACGTAACGTACGTAAGCTTGAAACATGTGTGCTATTGGCGTTTATCATTTGAATTCTAGCTAACAAATTCCCTGCAGATATCACTGAAAATAACATTTGTTGTGTTTTGAAGTATTGTACTTGCAGCCCCTAAATAATGTGGTAACTATATAATATAATATGAGTGTATTCTCCGATTGTGTACTGGCGATAACAATAAACTACTCGATCTTTATTATTTCTATTGCGTATTGTACTCCATTGTACTTGGAATCAATCATAAGCCGTAATGAAAAAGATACGTTCCTACACCTAGATAATCGTAAAGATAACACAGAATATAAAATAAGAATTAACCAAAATAGCTCAAATAGGGTTAACTGCAAAGTATTTTAAAATAGAGATATAACTGTTGTAACTGTTGTAACCGTCCTCTACTGAACGAAACTACATTTATATAGTTGAAATGACCTTGATTTTTCAACAAGTCTCATTAACGTTTTTTGAATTTTGCAGATATCGCCAGCGGAAGCAATGATTGGGAAACGTTCTGTTAACATAGAACAAATAAGTGATTACTGAAGTAAGTGATAATTGACCTCACCTGACATTGAGTATAACTGTAAATACAACGTATAAATCATCATTATTCAAATGATGTAGACAGCAATGACTCTCACATAATGATTTTTAACAAAATAGTTTTCTTTGGACAATTATCTTATACAAGTATTCTTTTGTGTATAATGTAATCATTAAATAGGAATTTTTGATTGCTCTTCGAAATTCTAATTTTTTATTATTCTTAGAAATTGTAATTTTTGATTGTTCTTAGAAATCATATGTTAAGGATATTTTACAGAAAAGCAAAAGTTGGGAAAATTGTATATTGGGCGGTTCATATTCATATATGCATGATTTGTTGTCTTGAATTCTTTTGAAATTCATTGTTTTTAACGAATTATATGACATGAATATGTGAAAATCATACGCACCTTTTGATTATCAATCTCTCTAAGCCCATGTCTTTAGCATGTATCATAATAAAATAATGAGAGTTTTACCCATAAAATTGCTTTGATGCAACCCTTTGTTGCATATTGTTTCCAATTGTAAACTTTATACCTCCCTGCATGCATTATAACCGTAAAAGGAGTAAATTATTTACAATTTGTTCAGGCCTAGTTGTGTTTGCGTTTATTGTGTAGATAGTTAACTTGTGCTAGAGGTATTTTCATCGTCTAAGATTGTCAAACACAAAGTGAGTGTTGGAATTTTCAGTTAGTATTTTGTAGGTGTTTGTAAATGGGAGAGTATTTTTCGAGGGTTGTGGTAGCTGTAGCAGGCTAAAAATGGTAAAAACAAAGGCTAAAAACTTGTATTCTACACTATACTAATTACAGGAACTAGCTATATGATAAATTAGACAATATATTTATGCTATGTTACAAGTGAAAATTTAGTATAGTATTATAAACATAGTTTAGGCATTCGATCTTGCCGAATACGAATGTTTTATCCCACCTGCATGCACCCCCCATCTTTAATCTTACGTCCCCAAACTCATGCGTGAGAAAGATGAAATCCTACAAAAAACAGCTTTAGTTTAAATTGAAACGCTCAGCTCAGCAGGTGTCAAATAAAACCAAGCGTTGACAAAAGATTAAAAAATAAAGTCACCAAAGTGAACGAACGATGTAAAATAAGACATAAATATACAGAAAGAGAAAAAAAAGATTAAATTTCCAATCTTTAATTAGCCTTAGTAAACGAAAAAAAGTTTTGCCGTTCATGCTTATTTTTACAGAATGAAGTTTAATACATAATCAACTTATTAGTGATTATTTCATTGACATTTTCAAATGTTGAACTTTATATGCGCCAAATGCATTAAAGACAAAAGAAAATGAGATAAAATTCCTCTAAAAGACTGCAAAAACCATAATTTGTATACGAACAAGATCATACATTAGTATTGCAATGACTTACATGCTAGCATTGGAGTCAAAGAATGGAATACAATACTTCATTGGTATTCTCCATTTCTCAAAGTAAGTATTTTTTACGTTATTAATTTTTGTCATTAATTTTGCTGGCAGTATATTGTAAGCTGACATTATCTTCTATTATCTTATTGTATAGAAATTCTTATCAAGAATAAATTATGTACTTGAATAAAGTCCTCCGAGCAATTAAAAAGAATGGGAAATAAGTCCTCAGAACAATGCTCAAGGATGGGACAGTATATACTTTAATGACGTTAGACAACACGAGACTTCTTTTGTCCATCAATCCGTCTACATCACATAATACAATCGCAAATAAAACATGTTGCTCTTAAGCAATGCTTCCATCAGCTCAACTTTTATGTCCATAAACAAGTCCCTGTCCTATTGGAATATGACCAAGGTTATTAGACTATTGGACTATGGCAGTTCAAAACGTTTCTATTCTGGGTATTATATCCAACTAAGATACGATTCCCTCTTGTCAATCCGAACCTAAAGACATATAAACTATATACGACGATATATTAATAATATCATAGTACGACCATTTATTTATCTACATTCATTGATTAGAAAATTTTCCAATAAAAACATGGAATTTTTTCAGCATGCAAAATAAAACCAAAAGTCCTAATTTTCGATCAAAAGTCCATCTGTCGATGTTTCCGCTTTCATGCCGTAGACAACATGCACAGTTGTAGAAATGGCCAATCTTGCTTCTGTGCGCCGTCGTCGACACGAAACCGAGGATGTTTGTCAGGTAGCAAGAAAGTTGGATACGATTGATGTACCATCAACGTCAAAAATTGTTTTTGGATTCTGAATGATTTCGCGTGCTCAGCATCCGTTGACTTCATGAAATAAAGGAAAGAAAGATTCATCGTCCTTTCCTTAAACTTGCAACGGATTCCTCCAAAACCATGATTTTACATTATGCTTTGTACGTAGTTTAGCCTGCTAACAGGCCATGTCTTTCTACAGAAAGGGCAAAAGCCACAACAAATCCTGGTGCGCAGTATATTCCACTATAGGGCTATTTTTTCAGTGCAGGTATAAAAGTAAATACACATTTTCATAATAGTTTTCAAAAATAGCCTTCATTAAGAGGTTTAAAAATGATTTGTGTTCGATGCTAATTAGTAAAATTTGTCTCTTAATTAGTAAACGTGAAGTTGCATCAGCGGTTATTAGCCTGTTATTGACATGCATTTGTGTCGGTTTTACTCGATTTATCTTCGTAAACCTCTTTGTGAATATACTGCTTTAGAAGCTACGTATGCTTTAGGTTTTACAGCATAAGCTACTCCCAGGCCCATAACATTCAAGACCAGACTTTTAAGCTGCGTGCTATATCGGATTCACTTTTCCTTTGCTGTAAAGGCTTTATTTGTTTTTTAATTGCCTTTGTTCAGTCTCTTCAGACAATAAATGCTTATTAAATTCAGAGCTTAAGTCTATTTAATTGTGCTTTTGGCATTAACCATTATCACTGCCTTTGAATACTTTGATAAACGGGACCTTGGTAATATTGTAATTCCAGAAATACAATTTACTATCGCATAAGAGTTTTATTATGCATTTTATAAAGTTGACTTTAAATGTCATACGTCTTCAACAAAAGCAATCGAGAATAAAATTTAAATAATCAGATATTATATCATTCAATAATGTAAGCTAGATGCAGAAATGTGATTATACATCATCCAAATACGTTGTGAAAAGTGTTTTGCTACTTTACATCTATAAAATAAATCCTTTAACTACCGTATCGTTGATTTCTTATTTGTTTTCCTGACAGTAAACTTTTCATTGTGGTTCGCTTTCATTAAAAACTGAAAAAGTTTTTAAGTTCTGGAATGTTTTTCAATTCGCCATTTGACCAGACAGCCGCACGTACCCGAACTGGGATTTCAAAAAGAACTCTTTAGGATCATCAACTTTATAAAATGGATGGTTTTAGTGCTGGTCGCAATCAATCGATCTGTCAATGAAAGCCAACAATCAAAATAATGATATACGCAAAAAATTTTTTTGTCTTTTCCAATCTGAGTAAATTTTATTTTACACGGTATATTTCATGTTCACTTGCCTTTTCTTAAACTGTTTTTACTGTTTAAAAACTGTTTATTCTTGATGTGGTTTCTTTTCACTGAAATTGAAAAAGTTCTTGAGATCTGGATTGTTTTTCAATTCTTCATTGGACCTCACAGTAGCATGCACTCGAACAGGGAGATTGGGGAATTTTTTGAGAATATACGCCTTGTGATCGCCAATCTTATAAAATGGTGCTGGTTGTGGTCTTGGCCGTGGTCGATCGTTCCAATGTTGGTTAATATTTCGAATAAGTCTTAAACATTCTGTCCATGAAGACTCATATGTAAAAGTTTTTCCTGTCACCACATCCGTTCTAAAATAATCATAAACATCACTGTCTATTTTACTTTTCCAATCTGAGGATTCACTATTCAATTGTTGAACGACACTACACAGGGGATCATTTTTCTTAATCTGCTGAAGATTTCCAACTTTACATAATAAGTCAAATTTCTCGTCATCCGACAAAAGAAATGGATGTTTTAACGCCACGTTAGCCGATGGTCTGTCTTCTGGTTGTCGATTTAACATCCACGACAGAAGGTCTTTCAATGTTTCATCCTTGATTTCCTCCAAGCCAACAGGTTTTCCGTTCAACATGTTGATCAGTCTATACGGTTTAGTTCCAAACGGGTGTTTTCCTTTTGTTGCAATATAATAAGTTACCATTCCTGCATTCTAAAAAGATTAACAAGGTAATGTTACAAATTGACTGTATACATGCATGTCGTACAAATGGTTATATTCCTACACCTACCATTACATCAGACTCTTTCTTGTACCGTCCTTTATCGACTGTATCTTTATCTTCACAATATGATTCAGGAGCAATCCAATACTCAGTTCCCGTGTTAGGCTTGCTTTCATACGTCGTACAATCATTATTCAATATTCGACTAATGCCAAAATCAGTTATTAGAAATTTGCCTTGTGAATCTCGAAGAACATTGGTGGGCTTTAAATCACGATGAAGAATAGGATTTGGGCCGCTATGAAGATCAGCTAATCCTTGCAAAATTTGTCTAAGAATTTCGGGAAGAGCTTTTTGAAGTATGTGTAAAGTAGAAGATTCTACGAAACTCTCCAATGACTCTTCACATAAGTCTAATATCAAATACACATATTCTGTTCCAGTCTCTTCCTCTAGGAAAGAATAATTCACAACATATTTCGAATTTCTTGCGTTGAATTTATTCAAAATTTTCTTTTCGTGCAGCGCAAGCTGGATGTAGCTATCTCGACGTATTTGTTTCACTGCTTTACCGTAACCATCCTTACCCAGTCCTAGAAAAACACGGGTTGCACCACTTCCTTTGCCAATGCAAAACTCTTCTGAGAAAATTACTCGTACATTGCCCACCACTTTAACCTCAACACTGGAATTGCGCCCATATTCAATCAATTTTAAAAACAATTCTCTATGTTTCGTCGATTCATCAATGTATTTCCACTCTTGCCAAACCAATTCTAAAAAAATTAGATAAAATATTTCATTCAAGGTTGAAGGAAACGAAATGAATACGTCAAAATAGCTTAAACTTTCCCAATCAGGAAAGAATATTATTAGCTACTGTACATTTTTGAAAAAACTTATCATCAACCATTAGACAAATCATAAGTTCTTTAATTGTACAATCAAATCTGGCAACATTTGAGGTTAGCTTATACAAGGTGCCTTTTGCCAAATAGAAAATGGTTTTGCAGTTTTCTTATTTTATATTAAGCTAATGATGATTTAATTACAAGAAACAATTTTTCTGTCATGTGTCTATTGTGTCAGGGTTTTGACGAATATTTTACTCAGGTAGAAAAGGAATCATGCAATTCAATTAATTTTAACACCTAACAAAGTAAGCGATTTAAATTTTATCATATCTTTCATTCTTTTCATAAAATTCTTGTCTTTTTAAAAAATGTGAAAGAAATCATGAGGTTATAGTGCTAAGGTATAATATCTATGACAAGACAAGCAACACGAACGATGCAAGCAAATGGCCGAACTTCCAGCTTCAAACGTTGTAACATCTTTTTTGTATTTTATGTGGGATGCAGAACATTTCAATTTTTTTGGCTACCACAATCACGTTTTATTATGTGGGATGCAGAACATTTCAATTGTTTTTGGCTACCACAATTACGTTTTACATCCAAATGATAGTTTGTTGAGAGGTTTTTATGATTAAACAAGCAGAATACAAATAAATTTACTTTAAAAAAATAGATTGCATGATGTCATTATCACCTCATGTCTCATCTTAATTTCAACTCACTGATAATGTGCTTCAAGTAAAAATTGTGAAGTGACAAGATTTTACTGTCATGGTTAAAACAGATTAAACCAACCTAAATGTTACCATTCAGTGTTGCTTAGACATGTGATGAAAAATTCATATATTTCATAACATTTGTTAATGTAAAAGGTTGATTGAAGACTGCATTTGAAGAAAATTTTTGTTAGAACTTGGACTTGTTAATGTTTTTTAAATGTATCAATACTCGATGCTGTAAACCAGTAGCAAAAAATTAATTTCTATCTGGAAAAAGTTATACTTCTACAATCTCCTGTATTCTAACAAAGAAAATAAAATTAACGTAATGAAACGACACTTTTTAAAACAGCTGGTCTAACCTGAACACTTTTAAAATGCAGGGTCCATGGTCTACATTACGTTAAGATTTATTTTAAAAGGTTTAGTGCAATTATTATAATTCTTTTCTTCAAAAATTATGAAATGTAGTCAATTTGAGCATTTTATAAAAAAAGTTGCCACTTTGCTGCTGCAGTATTTATTGAGATAAACAAATACTTGTCAAGTTGTGCTGAGCACTGCCGTCTGGTACAAAGTACATTTAAATTATTGTCGTTCACAAAGGAAAATTTAACCCATTGACACAGTATTGATCATACGTAATAAACGAACGTTTGGAATCAGAGTGCAACACTGTATACGTACATCATGCATATTATGAAATAATATAAAATCTTCATAAAATACATAAATACCAATCAAATGACTTGAATTGTGATACAATTTAAACAAATATGCTAGGTTATGCAATATATATAAAATAAAATAGAATTGAAAGGCATACCTTGTTTTGTATTTTTCAACACCAGGAGAATTTCCGACATCTTTAGCATTAGCATCATCAACACTTGTGATTCTACGAACAATAGTTTAAAAGCGTTATCCACACAAGCTGTGTATTTCTATTTTGAGAACAAATTACAGCTAGCTCGAAAAGAAATAACACAAATAAATCGAAAGTTGTTTTGGTAGTAGCTTTTAAATATATATTTCATTTCTTTTGCCCATTAGCTCCAAAATCTCATATACATATATTACGCACTGTTTTCAATGACTGACATTTTCAAGTAATAAAATGACCTTACAATTGGAAAGATTGAGGGGGCAGTATACATTTTCACGTAATGAACCAGCTTTCATCAGCCGTAAGTTTACCAATAAATGTAGATAAACAAACTTCATAAATTACGACTGCCAAAGAGTATTTTGGTAAAGTACAAGACAATAAACACTCTAAATATAGTAAACATTATTTATCTATATTAATTAATGTTTACTATATACTGAGTGTCTATTGTCTTGTGCAAAACTTTATGAAACAAACAGCAATGGTTTTGTAAAACGAAAGCAAAAATAAAACAAAACAAAAAACCATGGTATGAATGTAATAAAAGAACACTAGAAATGAGTTTTATCAAGAACACAGTTTCAAACTATATATTCTAATGGCAAAATCTAGGGGTGAAAGCCAGTCCTTGCAAAACAGCAAGAATAAACAAAGAAAAGAAAGCTTTGTTTTACGTGAAATAGTACCATATAGCTAATTGACTTTCTATTAACTTTGCCTGCTCGGTCTTTATTGAGAAATCTTGGACCTCTGATTTTAGCACAAACCTCTCCTAAGGGTCTCGGTCAGTACAAATGCTTCAGTCCGATATTTCTCCTAAAGACCTGCACTCAGTTATTAAGGGCGTTGTAGTGAATTCAGACATTGATTGAAGTGTTAACGAACTGTTTTCGCCAATCTGTCGAGTATCTAAGTACTTATAAGAAAACGTCGTTAAAGTCCGTTGCTGTTGACTGTCTGTTTTGAGGACAAAACTATTACAATTTTATGCAACTCCATGCAACCTGTCAAAGAAAATTGTAAGCAGACACAGACATTAACAACATTTTTAGCATTGTTGTTTAATTACTGATGGATTTAAAAAGTCTGGAATTATTTAAATCATACATTATTATCATATATATATATATATATTCAAAAGTTTCAAAAGAATACGCAAGCACTTGAAAGCAGAAAATCAACGAATTTTGTTCCTAAACAGAGCAAATGAATGGTTGCTTAATTAATAGCTTTTCAGAAGTTCGAATTCATTTCTCGTTGACGATTCTTTCCTTTATTATATGGAATCTTTGCCGAATCACGCAATTGGTTGAAAAGGCTACCTACCCTACAGAGGCAATTAAGACAGATCGGTCAAACATAGCAATTTTATCGCGATATGTGGCTTGTTTACTCCTACCTCGGCGTTATACTTTCATTAAACAATCAACTCGTCTTCGCAAGTTTTTATCAATTATGAAATGAAATTGAACTGTATTCCTGGAAAATAGATGAGCGTGAGGAATAAACAAGGGAAGAAGTAATCGCTATAATATTTTTCAAGTAGTAAACAAGAACTGCAAGGGTTCTAAGGATTGAAAAAATCATCTGCAACACCTTTATAAAGTTAGGGAAACATCCTAGGAAACATAATGACGGAATGGCTATAATAATGTTTGGTATCAATGTCAGTCGCTATGTCAATGTAGTTTCAATATAGTTTATTTGTATAAAATAGCAGTTAAACATTTCATACAGACCACGATTTGATAATATATAGACACATGTTTTGTCAAGCTTTTGCTATCTTTATTGCTCAAATCATTTATTTATGCTTATATTAAGCAACTTAATAAAACTAGATCTCAGCAAACAAATGCATTATAGGTCTAATTTTAACTTATAATAAAATGTCTCCTTTAACTCCTGTAATTTAATATCTGTGACATGTATATATAACATAATATTTTCTTGCTGTAAAAAATAATACACTGAAAATGGCATAAGCATGCTAAAATATGTCTGTTTTGAAATCATCCTGAATTATTTCCAATGTTTGTCAGTCTTTCAGTCTATGATTTTTTGATTACATAATTTTCACAGAGCTGGGTTTATGAAATAATAATTTTTCTAAGATATCAAAGACTCCAAGTGTGTTTAAATTTTGATACTATATATTCTAAGATGATATTTAAGTGTATGCTTTAATTCTATGAGTCACTTGAAATAGACACCAGGTATATGGAATATTATTTTTTCTAAATTGGTGCAATGTTGTATTTAATTCTTACAACTAACAATGAGTTTATAGCTGTTATATATCTTGTTCAATGTTAGTTTGATGAAAATGTTTTGTTTCCATCTCACTGTACTTTAGAGCGGGTTTTATGTATCTGTTTTTAGTTTATAGGAAGATTTTTGAGTTATTCTTTTGGTTGATTAATGTAAATATGAATCCAAACTGCGTTTTAATTATTGCTCTGGCTCATTTGTTTGTCTACAACCAAAATGAATCACCAGGTACTCATATGAAGCAATTTGTATGTTAATGAACCACTTAAATCTAGGACTTTAAATTCATTATGGCCAAATTTTCTTGTATTATACTATTTGTATGTATTCTTGCCGACTGAAACATTTTAAAGCTATTAATGGCTACGGATCTCAAATAGTTGAGTTAGACACAAAAAACATGATTTGTTTGTTGTATTAATAAGTTGACAGATGCAAGACTTTGTGCCAATAAACTTTCCTAAAGAGCTGATTCTTCAGTTCAATGGATATGTTTGTGGCTAAATACGGGCGTGAAATACAACAACACCTATTCGAGACATCAATGCAGAACTTCATGTCGGGGTTACAGAAGCTTATACAATCGAATGTCAACATTTATGCGTTTTGATTACAATTTATGATTCAATTGGCTGTCAGCGTTAACAAACTTCGTTGATGAACTTTATGACACAAATTGCGTCTTCCAAACATTTTATTAACCATTACTTGATAGTTATATTTTGATACTTTTGCCAAATAAACGCATTTTCGACACAAAATTGAACAATATTGATGCTCCAGGCTAGCATTTGTTTATAGTAATATAATAAACTAGCAAAGTGGGAACATCTTATGACGTCACGATCCATTTGTAAAATTGCAAAATGATGGCGAAATTTTACCTTTAAAATTAAACTATTTATACAAAACCAAAAACGCTCAAACATACACCAAAATGTTTTTCAGAATCTATATTTTTCATTTAAAAAAAAAGATGGGGTGAAATTTGGCTGGAATTGCTCTTTAACTAAATATCATTAACGCAATGGAGACCAACATTATGTTGTTCAAATACCTACAAACTTACCAAAATATTGATGATTGAGAAACATAGAGCATGACTTGATCTTGAAATTTAGCCAGAGTTTTTGGACTCATATTTTCGGTTTCTTTGTACACATCGTAGAAACGCCTCAAAGACGCAGTGACGTATGGTCTTACCTGGCACATTCGTTTTCGAACTTCGGAGATTTTGAAAACTTTGTAGCTGTTTCAGTTTTCCTGTATGTTGCAGAAAAACCGAGATTTTATGGAGATTTGGAACCTGGCTTTGATTCTTTTGGATTTCTGAGCTTTTCGTGAAGCTCTGGCTTGTCGTAATTTCCAGTTTTATCATAAATCATACGGTTGTGGACGCAGCTCTAACATGATTTGTACCTAACGATTTTTCGAACGAGACTTTCGGAGTTTCTTTAGCTTTGCCATTACTCCAACTTTTTAAAGACTAAACCAAGATTGTGTAAAGAATCAGCAACATCAACATGACTCGTACCTAACGATTGTTTTCGAATTTTCAGAGCTTTTTCGTGAGCCTCTTTAGCTTCGTCGTACTTTTCAGTTTTTTTCAAGACACACCAAAATTATTTAAAGACGCAGCGACTACAACATGACTTGGACCTAACAATCGTTTCAGATCTCGATTCTCCGTGAACCTTTTTAGCTTTGTTGTAGTTTCCAGTTTCAGTAAACAACAAACCAAGTTGTTTAAAGACTTAGCGACATCAACATGATTATACCTAACGATTGTTTTGAATTTCTAGAGCTTTTTCGTGAACCTCTTGAGCTTTGTCGTAGTTTCAGTTTTTTTCAAACACCAAACCAAGATTGTTTAAAGATCAGCAACATCAATGTGATTTGGACCTAACAATTGCTCGAATTTCCAGAGCTTTTTGAACCTCTTTAGCTTCGCCATACTTTCTAACTTTTTCAAGGACAAAACCAAGATTGTTTAAAGACGCAGCGACATCAACATGATTTGGACCAAACAATTGCTTTCGAATTGCCAGAGCCTTTTTATAAAACTCTAAACTTGTCGTACTTTCCAGTTTTATAATACACCAAACCAAGATTGTATAATAGGCGACATCAACCTGATTGGAAGCCTAACGATAGCTTTCGATTTTTAGAGCGTTTCATAACACGTAGCTTTGATGCACTTTCCATTATCATAATACAAAATACCAAGTTGTTTAAAGACTCAGCGACATCAATGTGTTTGGACCTAACTATCGTTTTCGAATTTCTAGAGCTTTTTCAAAAACATCTTTAGCTCTAAAGTAATTTCAGTTTTTAAACACCACACCAAGATTGTTTAAAGATGTGGCGACATTAACATGATTTGGACCTAACGATTGTTTGAATTTCTAGAGCTTTTTCGTAAAAACTCTATGGCTTAAATCGTACATTCCGGTATCATAATACACAGTACCAAGTTTGTTTAAAGATGTGGCGAAATCTACATGATTTGGACCTAACAATTGTTTTCGAATTTCTAGAGCTTTTTGTAAACCCTCTATAGCTTTGTCGTACTTTCCAATATCATAATGCACACAGTACCAAGATTGTTTAAAAGATGTATGCATGATTTGGACCTAACAATTGTTTCGAATTTCCAGAGCCTTTTCAAGATGATTTTAGCTTCGCTATACTTCCCAGTGTCAGGTA